AACCTGCCTATATTCCTGAGAGACATCTGTTAGACATCTAACTTTCAAGGCTCTAGAACATTTTCACTTCTCCTAAATGGCTCTCTTACCACCTTATCTGTGTTACATGTTTGTGATTAGCCTATTCGTGCTCTTGAAGTATTTTTTTTTTTTTTTTTTGGTCCGATCGTGGGGCCTGAACTCTGGGCCTGGGTGCTGTCCCTCAGCTCTTCAGCTCAAGGCTAGCGCTCTACCACTTGAGCCACAGCGCCACTTCCAGCTTTTTTCTTTTTTGCTTATGTGGTGCTGAGGAATCGAACCCAGGGCCTCATGCATGCAAGGCAAGCACTCTACCACTGAGCCACCTTCCCAGCCCCTTGAAGTATTTCTTTTGTTAAGAGACAACCTTTAACACATATTACTTGCCTGGCACAGTAACACACAGCTGTTTCAGGATCAGCCCTACCAGGGCCACTTGGTTTTGTGTGTTTTCTTTTCAATGTTTGGTAAAACAGCTATACTAGGTGCCAAGTTTCCTATGGATTATATATATTACTTGGTTTCATTGCTACCCAAGAACATGGTGTAGTGTGCACCTTTCTTCCTGCTGCCCTTGCCCCCTACTACTCTCAGATCTTTCCAGTAGTTCTAGGAGTCCCTCAATCCACCATGGCCTCTCACCTCCACTTTGTGTGTGTCTGTGTATGTGTTCTGGTCTTGCTTAGGGCTTGCACTCAGGGATGGAGTGCTGACCTTGAGTTTTGTTGTTTTTTCTTTTGTCGGTCTTGGGGCTTGAACTCTGGGCTTGGGTGCTATCCCTCAGCTCTTCAGCTCAAGGCCAGCGCTCTACCGATTGAGCCACAGTGCCACTTCCAGTTTTCTAGTGGTTTATTGGAAATAAGAGTCTCACAGACTTTCCTGCCTGGGCTGGCTTTGAACTGTGATCCTCAGATCTCAGCCTCCTGAATAGCTAGGATTACAGGCATGAGCCACCGTTGCTCGGCTTGTCCTTGAGTTTTTGTACTCAAGGCTAGCACTCTAACACTTGAGCCACAGCTCCACTTCAAGCTGTTTCAGTGCTGAATTGGAGACAAAGCATCTCACAGACTTTCTTGCTAGGGCTGGCTTTGAACAGAGATCCTCAGATCTCAGCCTCCTGAGTAGCTAGGATTTATAGGTCTGACCCACTAGCACTCAGCTGCCTCACCTTGATTTTAAGTAGTTTGGATTTTCGCTTCCTTTTCATACATTTTTTGGATAGGATACCCCCTTTTTCAGGAAGTGGAATTATAAGTCACCTGCTAGAAACTTCCTTCCTTTCCTCTTCTCTTTATCCACAAGTTTACACCAAAAATGTCCATTGTTCCTCATTCCTCCATATTGAGACCATCAGCAAGGGCTGCCAGTTTGATCTTCATAAACCATAGTGTACATATTTTACCTTGGTAAACAGAATAAGCACAAGAATAAATAAGGCAGATTGTTAGCTGTCAAGGAAGGCTGTTAAGGAGGATAAAGATCTGACTGGCTGGGAACAAGAATGGAGGTCTCAAGGTTTGAAGACAGGGTGAGAAAAGGCTGAGTTTAAAACTTACTGTGATGCCAGTGGTGGTACATGCTTGTCATTCCAGCACATGGGAAGCAGATGTAGGAAGATTACAAGTGTCAGGCCAGCTTGAGCTAAATAGCAGGACCTTATGTTAAAAAAAAAAAAAGACTTGCGTTTTCACTCTGCCAGAAGAAAATGTCCCCGAGAATTAATATATGTACACTTCTGAGAATTAATATATGTACACTTCCTAGTTTTAGATCAGAAAGTTTGGTGGCATTAGATCAGACTTCATAGCAGATCCATGCACCACAGGGTAGAATTTTCCAGATGGTATTCATCTCAGGTGGTTTGGTGGTGTTCTTAAGGGCAGTTCGAACCCAGGTCTGAGAAGCAGGAGACTGTTGGGTGGTGAGTGCTTGTTCTCTGGGTCTGTAGCTCAGTGGCTGATTTTGTTCAGAGCAGGGACCCCATTAGTCAAGGTCTAGAGGGAGTTTTTCCAGAGAAAGAAAATGTGGGCAGGGTGGATAATGGTGAGGAGGAGTTCTTTATGTCCAACCAATCCCTGGGCCCCCTGAGACTAAGTGAGAGCCTCTGGACTCCTTTTAGGAACCATTGAGAAAGGACTTCTTTCTGCCTTGAGTCGGGGTAGTTCTGAAGCCACAAGCCAGTGCCCTGGTATTGTAAGTGCCAGATACCAGATTCTAATTGGAACCACTATGTTCCCCACCAGCTGGGAACTGGGGACAGGACAGCTGCCTGCATTCCACACAGATGTCAGTTTCCCTTCCCTGGGGAGGGCTGGCTCACGCATGGTTAGGCGCCAGAGGAAACCCTTACATATGCATCTCCTTCCTCAGCCCTTCAGCTTTATAAGAGGATGTGGAAGTGGAGGCGTTTCCTGACTTTGGTTACCATTCATTGGTTGGAGACCTTGAGAAACTCGCCTGAGCTTTTGAAGCCTATTGTTGTTGTTGTTTTTTTCATTTGAAAGATGGAGAAAAATGATTTCACATGTCCTCTCCAATGAGTTACTGAAGACGGTTCAGTGCCTGCTCAAATGAAGCAAAACATTTTAGTTACAGTGATCGCTATCCCAGACTGATACGTATCTTTGTATGTAACTCTGTAGCAAGTGAGAGAGGAGACTCCCAAGTTGGTGCCATGGTGCAGCCATGGCACACAGCACCGTGCTAGTGCATCTCCAGGTGAGGCAGGGATGCAGGAGTAGCATCCTCACAGATCCCAACGTTCTCAGCTCTGCCCCTAGCTCAGGAACCTCAGGTTTGCTGCACACTAGCATCAGGGAAGCACATATTTCCAGACAGATCATAGTAAGCCTCAACCTCAAGAAACTGGTTGATACTGGCTGGAATTAACTTTGGCTCAAAAGCACTTGGGGGTCTGGATTCCACTGCCCAAAGGGAGTGCATGAGTCATCTTCCTGGACAAATGGGCTGGAGTGGGCTTGTGGCTGTCATGTCCCTGACTTCCATTTGTCATAGCCATCTGTCCTCCCTACCTCTCAGTACCCAGTAGCCATCCAAGTGGCTCTATCTTGGGGAGTCTTTCTACACAAAGCTGACTGTGGTTCAGAGGAAGTTTGCCCCACTTCTAGCTTATGAGCATTATTAATGGCATTATTAATGCCTTTTTTTGCTTTTAATGACATTATTACTACTCACTAAAGAGAAACAGATCACAAAACCAACATTTCTAGAAGGTTACAGAGCTTAAAGCTTTTGCCTCTCTGGTCTCTATTCCCCATTAACTTACTTATTCATTGAATCATTGATTATTGTTCTACATAATGAGGATGTTTAGGCCCTGGAGATACAGCAGTGAACAAGATAGATGCGGGTGTGGTTCCTGCTTTAATGCAGTTCCCAAAGCCCTACCCCCCAGTCTACCAGAAAGTCATGGAAACCTACTGACATGTGCTCCGTAATGTTCAGGTTTTATCAGGAGCCCCTTGGTAACTTTACTCAGAAAAGTCTGTGTTTTAGGCCAGAGTCAGGGTTCACAGTGTGAGTTGTTGACTTGGAGTAGCTAGAATCAGTGAAGCTGGGATGGATGTCCTCATCCTGGCAGAGGAGGGAAGCCAGTCAGGGCCATAAGGACAGTATTTGTTAGCAAGCTGGGTGTGGTAGCTCAAGCCTTAGTCCTAGCTTCTTGGATGGTGGAGATCACAGAATCATGGATCAAGGCTTGAAACTCCGTTTCAATCAATGGCTGGATGTAATTGCTGGATGTAAAGGGAATCACAAATAGGAGGATCACAGTCTAGGCTAGCCTAGACTAAAACAAGAACCTAATCTCAAAACAATCAATGCAAAAAAGAAATGTGTCTGTTAGAATGGCTCAAGTGGTAAGAGTACCTGCCTAATAAACTCACAGCTTCAAACACATTAAGTCAAAATATTAGGAAGAGGTGAGGAGGCAGAGTTCAGGGGAGATGCTCATTTGTGGGGCATAGGGGCTCTATCTACCTCGCTGGGAGCTGGTTAAGGTGGTTCTCAGCGCTGCGTCCTATAGTGGAGATAATCAGAAAAACAACCCCTTCACCCAACTGTACAATTGGTATCTCTGAGCAACCCATCTGTTTCCTGTAGATTTGAGAATGATTCCCTTTGGGCATTACCTTTAATAATCATGGACTCAGGGACCAGTCCATTTATTTTTTCAAGAAAAATCAGAAATCTGGATTCGAATATGAAATCTACACATCTTAATTAAACATATCTACACATCTTAATATACAATTAAAAATATGACAACAAAGAAACCAAGCAAGTCCTTCTCTAAGACTTCGTGTACATAAACCAACCAAAGACACCCGGCTACTCTCATCCTGTTGCATCTTGCGACATCTTGACAATATCAAAGTTGAGCTCAGAGGCCTTAGTCTGCCGTTCTGCAACAAGTTAAGTCCACAGAGCTTGGGACACTTCTTTGTTGTTGTGTGCACATTACTCTTGCCAAAACTCTACAGCAGGGTCACAATTCCCTTCTCTGGGCTTAAAGAGAAGTAGAAAGGGAAGGGCTGGGAGAGAAAGAGAAGCAAAAGAAGATAAAGAACTGGGAGAAAGAAAATCAGATTCTGTTTCAGAATATGCAACCGCTCTGGTACCATATTCAATCTGTACTGCTCTGGAGGTAAGCACTCTTCCTGTTGGTCTGAAGAGAAAAGTTACCGAAGGCTCTTGAAGCCAGAGCTTGCTGGAAGAAACCTTTACACTTTCTAGTATGATCCTGGGGAAATGACCTGAAGGACATCTGGACTGGGGCCTTGGGGACATGATGCACCGTCCATCTCTCCCTGTGCGCTTGCCCAACTCTGCAATGCTGCTGTACACAGCTCCAGGCAGCTAGGATGAAGGCAAGTTCTGTGCCCGAGTGAAAGGGAAAAAAATCCAACCCTTCCTCTGTGCTCTATTCATGAGTGTTTATTGTACAACTGCTCTCTTTGCAGCTCTGTTTTTGGAGACTGGGAATGTATAGGAGCAACTGAGAACCCAACTTCTTCCCGGAAACAACTGTCAGAGTAATAAAGAGACCCACAGCTCCCTGCAGGACAGCAAGGACATCCGATTTCTGAGGCACCTTGTTGCTGAGTGACGATGAGGAGGCCCAGTGCTACCCTCCTCTATCAACACAGAATTGGCGAAAGTTTATTCACAGAGCAGGGCGACGCCATCTCCAGGTGACATTCAGAGCAGGGACCCACTGGTCAGAATAATTACCTTGTTTCATTCAAAATCACGTATCTGGAATGCTATTCAGCAAAAGAGGGCAAATATGTTTAAAAGTCTTTATGTACACGTGTGACAATGGAACAATGAAGCTGAGACTGGTTTGGAGTGGGAAGGGGAGTCGGGAAGGTGAGTAACAAGAGAGTAGTTCTGATCAAGATCTATCCTATACATAGTTGGACATGTTAAAATGAACCTTTCCCCCTTTGCAATGAATTGATTCTAATAAAAATTATATATATAACAAAATGCTAAACACTTGAGTATGAATGAAACTTAAACACGTACTGAGGGGTTGGAGGTGTGGCTCAGGGGGTAGAGTGCCAGCCAATGAGTGAAAACAAGCATCAGATACTGAGTTCAAGTCCTATTTTACCCCCCCCCCCCCAAAAAAAAAACTAACTGAAAAAAGCTAGACAGAAAAGACCCGTGCTGAATGACTACACTGCAATAAAATACCCAGGATGAGAAATAAAATATCAATCCACAGAGACAGACACTAGATGACTGGTTGGTTGTGTGGGAATGGGAGAGTAAGCGGGAATTAAACAATAATATTTAATAATGATTAAGGAACTTATAATTAAATTTTAAGTGAGTGTGAGGGATCTTACTGTTTGGTGGGAATTTTTGAAAAACTGGATGATTGTATTAGGTAGACAACTGTGTACATTTTCTAGAATTAATTCAATTGTAATCTTAAAACAAGGGAAATTTATGCCATCTAAACACACACACACACACACACACACACACACACACCCTTGGGGCCTGAGAGAAGCCTATAAGCATAGCACCTTGTACCTTTTCTTTTTTGTCTGTCATGGGGCTCAGGGCCTGGGCACTGTCCTTGAGCTTTTTCACTCAAGGCTAGCATTCTTCCTCCCTTTTCTCCTCCCCCTTCTCCCCTTCCTCCTTCTTTCCCCAAACTAACAATTTAGTTACTTTGGGGAAGCATTTCTCTCAGGAAGAAATACAACCTGCCAAACAAATGTTAACTTTGGTGGGGGCGGGGGGGGGGGGGGGTGAGAAATGCATCTCTCAGGAAGGAATGCAAAAAAGATAGTGCTTCTATATTTCTAAACACCATGTTTCTGAGTTGCCTTTACCAAGCCTCGTTTTCTCCTTAATCTTCAAGGGAAGTAGATGGATGATCATCTCTGGTATTGGCTTTGAGCTTAAGGTTTTTTAATTCCTGGCAGCCATTCGCCGTGCCTCATTTTCCCTAGTCTACCCTGCCTCAGGCAGACACACAAATTACAATACAGTTGCTAGGGGCAGGAGGGATGGGCTGCTGAGTGGGAAGGAAGGAAATGCCAGCCTCTCTTCCCCTTTAAAAATAGGAACCTGAGGTTCAGGCAAAAAAAAAAAGGCAACCTCATTCCCAGCCTGGAGCTTTCTGCTCTTTTTACTTCCTAATAAAGTACTGGATTTGGGGCCCAGATCTTTAAACCGAAGAGAACTCCAGGTGTGTGACATCAAGGCACAAGGAGTTGTTGGAAAGCTCAGCAGATGGCAGTCTGACAAAGTGCACAGGGCTGAAACCAAAGTCAAGGGCAGTTTCAGCCCTTCCCACATAGCTGGCTGGGGCCAGCCTGAACTCATTCTTGTCCCAGTGCCCCTGGGAAGTGCTTGTTGCAGGGCTGAGAGAGTCCTAGAGCTGGCTGGGACCTCCACGAGGTTTTTCTTCTCTTGCATCCTCTGCCAACTCAACTTTCGTTTGTGAGGCTTAGTCTGCACAGTATTTGGTTTCCTAGCAGGAGCTCAAATTCCACGTGGAGACCAGATGCCCTGATGGCCATGTTATGCAAGGTGATTGTCCATACAGAGCAGACATACTTCCTTAAGTTCCTGAATCAAATCACTCATTTTCTGCTTGTTCTTGCTTTTAAGAATAAATTTCACATATTTCTGGGAAGATATGAAATGTATACATTTCTACCTCAGTATACTCTTTCATTTTCTTTCTCCCTTTCTTTCCCTCCCTCCCTCCCTGCCTCCCTGCCCGCTTGCCTGCCTTTCTTCCTGTCTTTCTGGACCTCACACTGGCTCAGCTTGCTGGCTCACACTGGTACTCTGCCACTTCAGCCATGACATTCCAGCTTGACTTTTTGCCAGAGATGGTCACACAAACTTCTGTATGGGCTGTCTTTGGATTGTGGTCCTCTAAGTCTCTGCCTCCTGAGTAGCTAGGATCATAGCCCAGCAAATAAGGCGTTTTTTGTTTTTTTGTTTTTGTTTTTTTTCTGTGAGCCTATGACAGGAACTATACCAGGCAGGCACTGTGAACACAAATGCATGATTAGCAGCTTACCTTCCCTGCTCAACTTTGTCTTTAGTGGTCGCATCTTAAATCCCTTCCCACCCTCAAGGAAGTTATTGCTAGAAATTTCCCCATAGCTCACAGATGTAGGGATAGAAAGAGGCTCTGAATAGAAAATGGTGAAGTGTTTTCTTTTCCATATCCAGAAGAGGGACTCACCTGGTAAGATTGGGAAAGAGATCAAAAAGTCCTTTCCTGAGCCAAGCTGAAGTTTCCTAGAATCTTCTGGCCTAGAATAGGCTTTTTTTCTTCCTCATGTGGTGGAGTTCTAGGTGGAAGCTGAAAGCAGGCTGCTTAGAAATCAAGAATATCTGCAAATCTAGGCAGAAGTTTTTAACCTTTGAAAGACTTCTGTTTTTCTGTAGTTTCCAGTGATGGGGGGGGGGGGGGACTTGTGGGGATGGCTTGGTGTATCTCTTAACTGAGCCTGTCTTACATTTCCAGTGCCACACAAGGCTGGCAAGGAAACAGGATCTTTTGCTTTGCTGGGTTTGAGGGAACATCCAAAGAGATATAGGTCAAAGCACAGCTAGGCTCCAACACATTCTCCCCTTGATTCCACCAGGGAAACATAAAAAGTCTATCTTTAAAAATTGGCATTTCTTTGGGAAACTCTCAAATGCAAACTATACCTGCTAATTAGGATCCCCTAATGGAACAGCTTGGGAATATTGACTCTGTGAATGAACAATTTGTGTGGATGAGTTTTTTGTTCCCAAGAAATCAACCTTTGACCTATCATTTTGGTAAAATAATGTTCTATTAGAGCAATGGTCATTCATGCTGACCACACATGGAAGCCATCAGGGAATCCTTGGAAAACACTGGTGTCTGGGTCCCACCCTGAGATAATGACTTAATCATTCAGGACTCAGGGCATACAGAGTTGTAAAAATTCTGCACGTGATTTCTTTTTCTTTTTCTGCTTCTTAGAGGGAGCAAAAGGGGGGCACAGAAAGGGAAGGAGAGAGAGGGTGAACAAATGCTCAGTATATACGAAGTGAAAGATGAACTATGCAACTTGTGGGCAGAGACAGGAGGAAGAAATTGGGGGAAAGTGGAGGAAATTGGGGGGGAAAAGAGAAAGGTACACATTGCCCGAATTGTGAAATGATAAACCCTCTGATAATAACAATAAAATTATATTAAAAAAATTCTCTGCACGGTGCCAGTGGCTCATGCCTGTAATCCTAGCTACTCAGGAGGTTGAGATCTGAGGATCGAGGTTCAAAGCCAGACTGGGCAGGAACATCCGTGAGACTCTTATCTCTAATTAACCACCAGAAAACCAGAAGTGGCTCTGTAGCTCAAATGGTTGAGTGTTAGCTTGAGCTGAAGAGCTCAGGGACAGTGCCCAGGTGCAGAGTTCAAGTCCCACAACTCACACACACACACAAAAATTCCCCATGTGAACCTACTGTACAGAGTCAAGGGATGCCAGTCACCTGATTCTCCAAGGCCAGGTGGGTACTCTAAGAGAAGAGAAAAAGCCAAAGCAACATATTAGAGACACTGAGTCAAACCAGCTTGCCAGTCATCTGAGCGAAGGGAGATGGAAAAGTCTGCCAGACCTGCGCACTGCCAGCCACGCCCTTGCAGGCCAGCAGCAAGAATGGACATGCTTTGTTAACTTTGCTCTTGTTGTTCCCACAAACGGCCCCGCCCCCCTCAAAGGTCTACATAATATAGCTGACTTTTTCCTTCTGGGGCCACATGTTTATCATCTATTAATATTTCAACATAAATAATCCTTTCTAAGAACGCATCCTACTTTGTTACTCTACCCATGTGTACATTTGTATCACATGATCTTTGTTACAGTAGTGCTGTTCTTTTTCCTCTATTGGAAAGACATGACCCTCCAGTGTCAGAACATGAATACGATGGATACAGGAGATTTCATCAAGTCATTCACTTCTGTGCAGAAGGTGCTCTGCCACTCTTCCCAGAATAAGGAGGCAGGCATAGCGGGCAGGGTGGTTCACTCAGTCTTTATCCCAATCTTGTCAAGAAGATAGGTTCCCATTGAATCGAACCCAGGGCCTCATGCATGCAAGGCAAGTGCTCTACCACTGAGCCACCTTCCCAGTTCTTTCATTTTTCTTGAAAGCAAGAAAAGGCTGGTTGGGAGCAGGGCTGGGAATGTTGTGGTTGACAGAATTGGAGAAAGTTGGAAGCAGTGGAAAGTTCCCATTCAAGAAAGGTCTTATTCTTTAACTCTATGGATAGTATATATGGTTGGCTGGTCATCATACACATAGTAGTTGCAGTCAAGAAGCAAATAATTCCAGGAAATATCAGTACCCAGCAAGATGAGTATTCAATGGTGACTGGTTACAAGATGGAGGCACTTGGGTTTGACAGAAAAGATGGCTTTTTCTCACATCCCCAATAAACCAGGCAATTCCACCTTTCTGGGAATCTCTCAGGCTTGATCAGGGTACTGCCTGTTTGTAGGGGTTTGTTCCCTAGAATGTCATTTTGTAACTACCAATAGTGGAGAAGCAAACTATGGGCAGGAGGCAGTCAACTCCCTGACCTGTGATTAGTAGACGATGCCAGGCATGGAGGACAGAAGGCTCCTCCCCCCCCAGGCCCCCCTCTGTGAGCACAGCCAGCATCCTACCATTCACTCAAGGAGGACAGTGCAGAGGAGAGGAAATGGGGGAAAGTGACACCTGCACTTTAATGGAGACAGAGTTCTGAGTCTGGAACCAACTTGCCAAAGTTTACACCCTGGCTCAGCACTGTGTGGCCTTCAGCACACTACTGACCATCACCTTTCCTCAGTTTGCCATCTGCAAGGTGGGACCGTCATTCTGACTTTGAAGAATGAATTATATAGAGGATTAAAAGAGTGCATCTGTGTGCATGTGTGTG